GGTGGGCCGGGGGGGGACTAAGATGATGGGGTCAGAAGAGGGCCACTTCCCGGGACCATTTCTACGGCACTTCCGGTCAGCAGGGGCTGTGGCTGTGGCTGTGGCAGATAGGCTCAGAGGTAAGAAATCCACTATTCACACACGGTATGGAACTAGTCATCTGTAAAATATGATCGTTTATTGAATCATAAGAAGTGTGGTTTATGTGTATTTTCTGCAGGATCTTCGTGTGTATTTTTCTTTGAGAATTATGGAGTTTTTGAATGAACCAGAGATGGTCCCCATTTCTTTGAACAGATGAGAGAGAGAAAGGGAGAGGGAGGGAGGGAGGGAAGGAGGGAGGGAGAGGGGCAGAGAGAGATCAGAGGCTAAGACACTGGTGTCGAGGTCACTCAGCCGGGCGGGGGGGTCTTCTCCACAATCGCGTCACACCTTAACCTCATTTATACAGTTTGTCTTCCGTTATTTTCTAAAAACAAAACAGTGAAGTGAGAGAAGGTATTTTCTAAAAACGAAACACTAAGATGAAAAAACGAAAACGACCCTAACAACATAAGAGCTCTCAAATTCTCCCTCAGTCTCCCCCACTAGAGCTGGCTCAGCAGGAGGCCCGGGGGTCAGGCCCCTGAGCTGATGGACCCTTCCCGGCCCTGCTGGACCGAGCCTGGTCTCCGGCCTCCGTCTACACCCCGCGGGCCCCGAGAGACAGCGGCGAGTGTGCCCATAGACCCGCAGAGGGCCTGGCCAGCCCGCCTCAGTCACGGAGAAACACGGCCAACGCCTTCCTCTAGGCCCCGGGGCTGTTACATCACCTTTAGCAAGAGAAAGAGACGGAAGATATCTCGATTTATTTTTTTTCAAATTCGCTCCGATGAAATTACAAAGGGCTACAGATTCACACGGGGCCAGGTTGGTTGGATGCCAAGTTTAACAAGGTGTCTTGTTGCATCAGAAACGTCACCCCCCACGAGCACATCTGTAGCTTATATGCCTGATTACTACTCTCAGCTACCTTTTCTTTCCTTACACAGCTGCTAAGAAAGGAAGAAAAAAAAAGACGCAGGAATGTCACACGTTTCCCAATTCGGGGGGTAACCACACTCATTTCCCATGTCCACCTTTTTTCTCAGCTATTCCAGTCATTCGTGCGCTGTTCATGCAAAACAAGCAGGTCCTTTAATCAAACCTCATCGCGTCCGGCCTCGAAACTGACCCACTTTGCAGCAGAGAGAGAACCTGGACCCCAGCCGACCGCAGAGGAGACTCTGGGGACACCGAGACACGCGCAACGCCGGAGCCATCAGCGGCCACCGAGTCGGCCGGTTACGAAGAAAAATCAGAGAACTTAAAAGGAGTCGCCCGATCATCCGAGTCGGAGAGCATGTGTTTAAAAATGTGTGTGTGTTTAAAACCCTAAGTCATCCCGAGCCCACTGGGGGCTGGGATCCCAGCAGGTTACCCAGAGCGGGGTGCTGCGGGCCGTCTCCCCGAAACGCAGACGCGCGAGGGCAGGTTGGCCCGACAAAGGCGCGGGACTTCCAGCGGGTGGTGCGGTGCCGGCTGCTTTACCAGCAGGTGATGAGCCGCCCTGACGCCGAGGCCATCGAACTGACACCCCAAAGGTCGCCCCGGCGTCTTTAGTCACACCTTGGGCGCGAGGGGCCCCGTCCTGGCCCTTTCCACACGGAGCAGGAGCACTCCGTCACGTTTTGCATCCGGCCCTCTTTTCTTAGAAATACATTAAGCCGCTTTTTTTTTTTCCTTTTTTTTCAAATTACCAGGTGAGGATCCAGGCCTCATCGTTTATTTAACTTAGCATATATTATTGAGTTTCAACCTTTGAGCTTACAAACAGAATACACCTTTGAATGAAAAACCTAAGTCACACGCAGATGTGATAGGTTTTATTTAGGCTGCTCTACACTGTGAGTTAGAATTTCCAGATAAATGCTCCAAGGGGCGATGGTGCTTTATAAACCTTTGGCACCACAATTCCCCTGGGCCTTCTGTGCGGATAGCTCGTACTTCCCTTCACGCATTCCTCCGGAGTCATTACGAGCTAGACAGTGGTACCTGTGTGGAACGTAGTGGCTTCCACATCAGGGCACCCGACGCTACACGCGGGGGGCGGGAGACACCGACGCTGAATGTAGGGAACGTAGCGGCTCCCACCTACCCTGCCTTTCCAAGGGGCCGGGGCTCCCCCGTGGCCAGGGCGTGGGAGGCACCTGGGCCATTCTGACTACCGTGACTTCTCACCCCCCCTCGTCTCCTTCAGCTCCAGTGACCTGTGCTGTCTGCAGCCAACACCTTTAATTTGGCGGAAAATGCCAGAATACTTCTATCTATGAGTCTCACTTTGACTGTAATCGTGTCTCTATTTTTAAACACCTTAGCAAGTAAATGCAGTACCCACTGAGAGCTCATTCTGTGATCTTGGATTTTATGTGGGTCTCTGACCTTCTCTCTACTGTAAACTCTGATCATCAGAGACCCCAGACGCTCTTTATTTTGAATCCCACAAGGACGCCGGGTGCTTTAAATAGCACACATATCGGATACAGTAGTTTAAACCAACTGTTATCAATACAGTATTGAGAAATGTCTTAGCTTTCGGACATCGTCAATATTTTTTTCATTGTATTAGGTAACGCTATTTATTTATTGGTTAATTAGTTCTATTTCTTAATGTATTTTTTTAGTCCATTTTGAAAAACAAAACCGATGATTTCTGAATGTTAAAAATCATCAGACATGGACGAAAGCCATGCCTGGCTTTGTTATGCACTGATGTTATTGTAACACGGCCTTTAAGAGGCTTGAGGGTTAAGTCAATCTCACTGGATTATTTTGTTACTTAAAATACTCTTTGAAGCACTTAGCAATAAATGCTTACCTTTATAAGATCTGTCCAGCTTTTGAATATGCTTTTCCGTACTTGGAGAAGAGATCGAACGACGGCAACACCGTCTGGAAATCCTAGGGGGGGAAAAGAGCGAAGATGACCACAGAGCTCCTACTGACGTTGTTTTATTATTATTATTGGTTTTAAATACATATAACAATAATTTAATTTTCAGAAAAAGGAAATGAAATGGTTAGTTTTATTTAAATGATCTCAGTGTAACCTTTTTGATATTTATTAATTATATTTAGTGTTCATTTTAACATAATAGTAGAATTTGCCTCTAAATCAGAAAACAGGCCGCGCTGCCGTGGGGAGCGACCCGTGAGCTCAAGGAAAGCACCTGCAAGACACGTGTGTCGCGCCGCTTTTTAAATGAGGGGCTTGGGGTTGTTTTTCTGAAAAACAGCCTTGTGAAGGCAAAACACTGGGGAGGGTCACTGTAGATCCCGCCGTCGCCCCTGCCTGCCAGGGCACCCAGCTTTTGCAGGGAGGGTGCCCAGCCAAACACAAACAATCCACCGCCCGAATGAGCTCCTTGGGACGCCTGAGGAGTCTGGGAGGGAACGGCTCTTAGAGCTGGGATGCGGCCCGGGGCCACTGTCAAGTCAAAATGACAACGGGCACATCTCCTGGGCCACTCACCCCCTAGGTGTAAGATTACTTCACGTTGGCAGCTGCCCTGCTTACTCAGTTATTTAAGGTTTTGGTATACATGTCCCTACTTTTATTTCCGGGTGGGTGTTTTTATTGAGGGGGGAGAGGAAGAGAGAGAGAGAGAAACATAAATGATGAGAGCCATTGATCCGCTGCCTCCTGCACGCCCCCACTGGGGATCGAGCCCGCAACCTGGGCCTGTGCCCTCACCAGGAATCGAACCCCGAACTCCTGGTTCCTAGCTGACACTCAACCACTGAGCCACGCCAGCTGGGCGATTTTCTAATCACCTCCTGAGGAAGGAAACATCCTGAAAGGATATACAGGGTACTTTAAAAGGCACAGCTGACTGAAATGAAGGGCGATTTCCTACGTATTCCAGTGGCTTTAAAAGCACAGGCCTTACCCTTGGGACCCACTAGTCATCAGATCTGAGAACAAACGGTTGTGCGGCCTCGCCTTCGAAAAGTCAGAGTGTCCCCTTCTGTAGCCTATCTTTCCGTCAGACGTTGTTTGCTGCTTGTAGATTTATTGTCTCACTGTGAAAATATGTATGATAATGTTTGGTCTAAAAGTCAAGAAATTAGTCTCGCAGCAGGGAGTCCGCTAACACCACCGTTTTAATCGCACCCTTCAAGCAGTGGCAGAAAACATATTAATGGCAGTTTAATTTATGCAACAAATATTTCATTTTAATTATGCTTAACTTTCGTCAAGCTATAAAAATGTCAATGGTTCTGACACAGTGTTTGCTTACAAGTGTGTTTGTTTTTTTTTTAAAGTGAAAGAATTAAAATCAAAGCTGTTTCTGAAAGAAATTATGAAAGATTTCTAATTACTGCTTACGTGTTTGAAAAAATTGCTAATCTAGTGGGCCCCCAAACAACATCTGGGAATGTGTGAACTTGAAGCTTTACGACTCAATATTTATAATTCTTAGTAATACACATGCATCATGAACATGATGAAATTCTCGCAGGAAGGATTTTTTTTTTTTTTAGTAATTATAGGTTGTATCAGTGAGTGGCATTGGGTGGTGCATTTTCTCTAAAGAAATGTTTTTGTTCATTCCTCTCGGGAAACACTAAGGCAAGAATCAGTGAAACCAATCGCTGCCGATACACTGCACTGCAGGAGAGAATATTCACCATGGACAGAAGTGGAGACAATGACAATGTCCAGCCACCAAAGCTGAACAGCATTAATTATATTCAGCGAAAAATTATTGAGCTCTTGCCCTGGCTGGTGTGGCTCAGTTGGCTGGGTGCTGTCCTGTGCACCGAAAAGTTGCCGGTTCGATTCAGAAGGAAGGACAGGCCAATTAAGGGCGCTGGGCACTGGGGCTAACGAGGGGGTCAGCTGGAAGCGGCCTCAGGGAGGGAGGGAGCGGCAGGAGCAGGCGGGCACCTGGCATTTCAAGTCTCTGGACATAATGGACTTACAGTAACTCTATGCACAAGGTTTACTTGATAAAAATAATATAAAAAAGAAATAATTAGTGCGCCAAAATGTTTACTATTCGCCCGCCCGGGCGTGGCTCAGTGGTTAAGCATCGACCTAGGGTCCAGGAGATCGAGGTTTGATTCCCGGTCAGGGCACAGGCCGCCCAGCAGGGGGCGCGCAGGAGGCAGCCGATCAATGACTCATCATTGATGTTTCTCTCTCCCCCCCCTGAAATCAATAAAGATATACATATTTTTTTAAATGTTTACTATTCTTCTTCGATTTAAGTTTCCTTTCTACTTGGACACTTTTATTAACTGCACTCCTCTCAGTAACTGATGCCTTACTTTTAATCATTTTTATAAAATACCTACCTAAACATATAATTTCTCTCTTTTTTTTTTTTAACATTTTGCTTTCATTTTTCAGATGCTACATCTTTAGTAATGCTTCCCCTAAGCAAGTCTACATCACAAAACATATAAAAATGCAGATGAGGCAGTCAATGGAAATTAATGCATTTTGTAATGCCGACTCCCTTTCCAAGCTTTGAGGACGTAACGGACACATTTACTGGTCTATGTGTGATACTTAATCTCTATCCGACCCAAAATGACCGAAGACGACAATCTACTTTTCTCAGCTCATGTTCTTTTCCCCAAAATAAATCAGATGAAGCAGCAATGGCAGCTTCCTCACAAGCTAGTTCAGGCACGATGCCCTTGAACTTTACTGAGCCCCAAGTCAAAAACACGTGTAGGCAAATGACTTTGGTATTCAAAAATACTAAGGAACGTTTACTTGCTATTGCCATTAAGAGCACAATTTATTGCTGAATATTTAAGTATAGCTCCTAATTCATTTAAATGAAAGGTTGTTAAATTCAAGAACGCTGACACACGATATACAAGAATTTAATCTCAATAGTCAATGCATTATTTCATTGCTGTTTTTGAACAGTCTAAAACTATTGAAAGGTTAAGAGGGTATAGAAATAGAACAATGTGAATGATTTTGGCCTTCTGAAATTCTATGTTTGCAACGGTCGCACGACAGAGGGGGTAAATAACTCTTGAATAAAGTTAAGTTCAACTTTGCGTGTATTTTTACTTACACCACTTTTGTTCTACGGGTAAGAATTTATCGGAAACAGGGTAAAAAATAAGTATGTCTCACCATGGTCGATGCATAACAGCTTCTAATCAGTTGATATCTCTTTATAAACTACTTTAAAACTAAACCATTACTGTGTTATATTCTTAGTAGATGAATTACATGCAATTAATACTTAAAAATACTTGAGAAACTGACTTGCTAAGTAAGTTAGCCCCTCTTGTTATATTGCTTCATTTACTATTCTGTTTAATAAACCCTTTTGATAAGAAATATAAAATAAATTCGATATAAGAAAGAATATAGGAAGTATAAAAGTAGCAGGTGCTAAGTAGTTAGGACCTGGCTCTGATGTGAGCATTTTAAAATCGCTTCCTAGCGTGTTTGCATGCCTTACATCCATCAGCAACGCCAGGGTTCATATAAGCGATTCACAGAAAACATCTCTGAATTAAGCCGACAGATTAAAGGTGTTCTAAACAAATCAAAATCTTCCAGAGGTAAGTCATAGTTTCTTTTTTTAACAAATAATAACCAGAATGGTCTTGATTTTTTTTCAGTGTTACCGAGTTAAATTTTGATGAGTATATCTTTGCTCTACTTAAGAAAAGGAAAACAAATATAAGAATTGTTCCATATTGAAAAGGCACATTAAAACTCTATTTTATCAAGAACATAATATGGATGTGCTACACGGAGATAATTATGAGTTGTAGGTTCTTTTATGCAAACATGAATATAATATTAATATGCTATGCTGAAATAATTATGAGCTGTAGATTCCTTTATGCAAACATTATTTAGCAGTGCAGTTCAGGATATTAATGCTCGATACTTTACAGATCTCTTCTGTTGACATATGTTTGGCTCATATAGATTATGACATAGGTGTTAGTCGTCATTAATGGTATTTCTAGAAACCCATTAGTTTCCAAGAGCTTGGAAATTAATGGCAAAGGTATTTCAATTAGTTTTGTCTGTTCTCCAACTCCGTGGTGAGGGCCTATCCAAATTTTCAAAACTGCTAATGTGATTTAGTGGATATTAACCTCACACAACGTTCCATTAAGCTCGTATCCATCAAGGGGGCTAGTTAATTAGCCTTCAGGAAGGATTTTCTCTTCCAAGAAGTCTTACATGTAGAGCCCTGAGAAAAACTTTCTATCTCTACCACCAACAGCCCGAGGAAGGCCTGGCCTAGGGTGTGGGAGGCCAGTTGCAAACAATTACTAATACCTGTGCCTTCCCGGGCAGAACTGAGGGCGTCCTCCCGAGAGGGCCTGGCGCTCAGTTACACGAGCGGGTCTCCTGAAGTGTTCGAAGGGCAGATAATTCTCAGTCTAAGTAAACGGCTCTGACATTCCTCCTTACTCCCTTACCTTTTCAATTACAGATGACATTAATGTTATATTAGTTCCAGGTGCACAGCAGGGTGGTTAAGACTCACCAGGCGACCCCCTCGAAGAGCCTAGTACCTCCCCCCCCGGGGACACCATACCCAGTTATTATCACGGGGCTCCTGGGACCAACCGCCTGTGCAGACTGAAGGACGAGCGTACACGTAAAACTCTTTCTAAACACATCTCCGTTTACCAACCACCACTATTAACTCCAAAAATGTATCAATAAAAAGAGAACTGAGACATACCACGACTTTGTTGTTCGTGCAGCTTAACCCTAGAGGAAGTGGCCACACAGGAGACATCTGAGTCGTCTTCTAACTTTAAAGGACACGACCGCCCTGGCCGGTGTGGCTCAGTTGGTTGAGGATCATCTCGGGCACTGAGAGGTCGCAGGTTCGATTCCCGGGCAGGGCCCACGCCCGCGCTGTGCGCTAGGTCCCCAGGAGGGGGCGTGCAGG